ATAGAAACGAGCACAGTCTCTAGTGTAAGCGAGATGAAAGTCTGAAGGGCTTGGGTCGTCGAGACAATCACCACCAAATCTCTCGATGGCTCGAGTCTGTGCCTCGTGACTGTCGTTTCCTGCGGCCAGAATGTGCAAGAGGCCGTCGTCCATCTCCACCTGTTCGTCGACAGTTTTATCCCGCTTGCGCGCGAAGACATGAAAGCATGTGGGGAAGGCTTTTTCGAGGATGACCTTTCTGTTGACGTTGTCCCTGCTAATCGACATGCCACTGCTCTCGCAAACGGGCTGGAGTTGGTGCGTGTCGTACGTCCCGATCGCGTGGGTACCGCTGCTATGGGCGGCAGCCAGGACCATGCTTAGGGTCCGGAGAGGCATATAAGCAGCTTCCTCTATGATGATCACGTCGACCTTAAGTGTACGTATCGACCCCGCCGTCTTCTTCACATGAGAATCATCGCCCAGGTAGAATCCGAGCTGGTGGTCAGCGGTCTTTACATTCCAACCGGATGGCAGGTTTGTGAAGGACGTTCTCAGACTATTGGTAGGGGTAACGACCAACCCCGTTTTGAAGATATTCTTGGCAGCGTTGAAGGCACAATAACTCTTCCCCGCCCCTCCATGCTCTCCGGTCACCGCACAAACAATCCTTGAACCTTGTCGAGACAGCAAGCCGCGGAGTAAAATTTCTAGTTTCGATGGTGACTCGGCCTCGCATTTTTCCGGCCACATATTGCCGAGACGACGCCCGGCGTTGTGAGCTTCTTCCATCGAACTGAAGCCGGTGCCGATGCCATCCCACAGAGGGATCACTAAAAGCCGGGGTTTTAACGAGCAAGGAATTTTCCTCATTGCCGGAGGTAACGCATCCAGCGATAGCTTGACCACGATGCCTTCGAACACCCTCCTCTCCCCACACAGCGGGTTCTTCAATGCCGGTTCAAACTTGAGAGTGCCGGGGGTTTTGTCGTTGCCGCTAAACAACTGGTTGAAGCGGAGTCTCATATTTTCTTGCACCGAAGAAGATCCCCTGAAGAACACCGCGTCACACTGGAAGCTAAAGTCGGACGCGCCGCATAGTTCGAGAGCGTTCCTCGCCTCCAACACTCGTAATCGAGTTTCGTCGAGAATGAGCGCACCTAACGCCCAGAAGCCATCTCTGTACCAGGTCCGTTCTGCGTCGAAACAAAGGAATGCATCACCTGTATGAGTGAGTCGATTCCAAGGTCCCCTTGTCCCGTACGAAGCTCGGCCTTGACGCGATCGACTTCGCACAGGACAGGGACAATTTTTCCACCCACAGCCGAAGCCTCGTCACTGCTCGTAACCATGACGGCATCTATCCTGTCCGCATATCTCTGCTGCAACATACCGCTCGCCCGCACGAATATTCCTTTTTTAAATCGGCGTGCACAGTCGGCATCCTCGAGGAGAGGATCACCCAGCTCATGCGCGAGCAGGTCTCTTACAAATTTGGGTATGTGGCACCTGCTGACCGTTCTGGATGGTCGCACGAAGTGGGTGACTCTATGGCGAGGCGCGTTGTCGATGAGGTCGAGGTAACGATTGTAGTTTCGACCGAAGACCGGCGTCACATCCGCATTAAGGAATACGCCTGGCTCACCGAGCGCGTCCAGCTTGATTTTGTATAGCGTCCAATCCTCGATGTTGTGGCCATCGAACTCCTCCACCTCATCCATGTGGCCGAAAACGGGCACCGTCTCCATGTTCATTAGGGCGGCCGTGTGGGCCCCGTTTATGTCACATTGCCAGTCTTCCCTTCCGTAGGAACTCCCGGACGCGTCCTCTGCCCCGACGATCGGCCCCCGCCAGCACACCTCAAGGAGGGCGAGCAGAGACTGGCTGTACTGGCTCGATACTCGAAAATCCAATACCCCGCGGTGGAACTTCAGACCCAGGGCATTATGCAGCTCGATCAATCGTGTTGCCTGGTCGGGCTCGAAGTCATCGGGATCGAGCCCACCCATGCTCGCGCTGCACCAGGTTCGGATGACTACACCGTGCGCTGGTAAGGACAGTGAATCCCAGCGACTGTAGTTCGTGAGTTTACCCTTGCAAGAGACCCTAGCGTGGTGTCGGTGGAGCATGAGTTCGTCGAGGGCCGTTCCTGGAGGCGCGTACCACGTCTTGCATTCTGATACCTTCCTCCCATGCTTCCGCTTTTTTACTGGCTGTCGGTTGTGGTCCCCCCCTGTTTGGTTGATGGCCATGATATCACTCACAATGTCAGCGACACACGAGAAGGTCTTGGTGCCAAACCCAGTCGTATCTGGTTCCTGTTCTTCCTCGGTCATCTCAGAAATTCGACGGAATTTACGGTAAGTTCGTACGCTGTGATCGATTGCCACGTCTAGAGACGATCCAAACCTGTCTCCCCAAGGCCCCTCGAGCACAAGCCGGTACACGTGTCCCTCACGAACCCCAACGTGTAGTGTGGGCGGTTGGAGGTTCGTTTTCCCGTCGGATGGTCCAAGAATGTTGGCACCAGTGCCCCGATGTGACCACACCACCACGCTGGCGTTGGTCATATGGAGCCACTTTTCGAGATGCAGTAATGTCAGGGCGGGTGGTTCTGCATCCCCCGAAACCCATGTGTCGAACTCTACTTCCCCGATGTCTCGCTCCAGTAGAATCGAATACAGGTTGCGGAAGTAGTTCCCACCGTCAAGAGCGTTCTTGTTGTGTACAGGCGCGCCCTTTTTTGGTCGACCACCACGAGATGAGATCATGAACGCACCCGTGGGATCTACATCGCGGAATCCAAACCTTCTCCTCTCCTTCGGTTTTTTTAGCAGGTAGACTTGACTATCGCGCCAAACGTCGGCGACGAGGACAGCGAGACAGGCTCCGGGAAGCTGTTTCTGCCATTTTTTGCCGAATGCGGTGATGGGGGCATATCTCACAACTCTGTGCCCGAAGGTCGCTATGTTAAGCTGTCTGAAAAAAGGGCTCTGTGAGTCGATACCAGATCGGACCTGGAGGTTCACAAAAGACATCGGGATGCCCTGGGTGTCGACTTCGATCTCCCTGTCAGCTGATGCCCAGCAGATGATCACTCGCCAGGTCTCGTCGGCTGCTGACACAACGAGCTGTCCAAGACCACCACCCTCTACGTCCACAAACGCTGTGCGCCAAGCCTCCGCGTCACGCGGGTGGACCATGCCTCTCTGCAGCACCGTCCTCGCCCAAGTTTGAAAATTGTACAGGTTGGGATCTCCTCCGAGGGGGTGCGAGTTGAACCACCTGTATCCCGGCCCCGGCGAGGAAGGGAAGGAGATACGAACCCTAAACCCCGTGCCGAAGACGGCCTGGCGCCTATAGGTGATCCCTCCAGGCCCTATGTACCGCCACCCGTTGCTCCTGCCTGCGACGGGAGCGGCCTGGTCTACCTGCTCCACGTAGCACCACCGGTAGCTGGTGGCATGTGGTGATGATACAGCTGCCGTGGTTGCCCGTGCGATCCTCTCTTTGAAATGAGCCAACATAATTTTTCTCTTTTTTTACACGAAGCGTCAACCACGGTGGTGGTACCGTTGACTGATGACAATAATATATCTGGCTCTCGATTACTCCGTGTGGTGAAGACGCGATTGTATTGTAGAAAATGTCTCTTCTCCTGTGAGGGCAGGATGCAGTTGTGAGCGTGTGGGTGTTTCCTGGCAACGATTGTTTCCCGTCAAGATTTGTCGCAGCTCTCTTTTTTTTCGAAGACCGTCCGTCCGTCGTGTGGGTGCGACAAAAAAAAACACAAGAAAAGGGGCGAGGATGGTGGGTTCAGTACCACCCAGCCTAGAGTGGATCGGAGCAGCCGGTAGGAAATGCGCTCCTCCAGGACACAAGAAAGTGGGGTCGGCGATTTCCCGTGGAAGTCTGGCGTCATCAAGTAATGATCGGTCAATCACGGGGAATTTGAATTTTTCGAGTTTCCCCGAAAAGGCGACCTCACAACCGTGGCTGACGTCATCGGTCGACCATGGAATTTTCCGTACACAGGAAATTTCCTTTAAAAAAAATTGGCCAATCAGAAAACTGCGGGGACCTTTTCTCGCTCTCTCACGCTTCTTGCTCACAAATCGGCGCCTCGGTAGGTTGGGCATCCTGGAGGTAGGTTGTATGTAACCGCGTTTTTGAAGCCAACGCCAACACATCCGGAAACTTAGGGGAGCGGAGGTGGGCAGGTATATTCAACAAACCCGACGAAGTGGGGAGGGAGAACTTTTCGGGAGAGGAAACGCATGGCTACAATGCACTCACTCTCTCGCTGTTGTTCCCTGGGGCTCCTTCTCACAGTTGTGTTTTTGGGAAACGACACAACAGGCGATACCTTGGTCGGAAGGCGACTCAACTGGGTACGTACTATTCAACAGCGTGAAATGAACCCACATTGGCCAAGGCCCACTTCACCCCACCGCGTCCAAAACCGGAGTACCCTGCCGTTGCCACTTTCTCAAGAAGTGCACCCTGATTGTGGAAATGTAACCTGACCTGACGGGAAATAAGCCATTTCCTCCGCGTGGATCCTTTACCAACCCTTTTCCCCTCCAACCACGAGACACGAACCATCAACTCTTCCCCCCACACACACAATCACGGCTGACTGGCTGGTGAACGCCAGAATAGTTCGGTTTGGAAACGTGCTGGGTGTGCATACGTAAACGTAGTTGCTTTAATAGACCATGTTGTGATGTTGGATGTATGTGTGGTTTGCGTGTCGCTTGAATCATCAGGATCGATCTAGCCTAGCTACATACCAACCAACCAATGAGTAAGACGTCAAAAAAATGAGAACACTCTCTCTACCGACGGAGAGGGTGCAGGAGTTGGACAGCACAGCAGCAGTGTCCTGCTTCTGGAGTAGAAGGCTTGATGTGTATGTGTCCTTCCTCCCCTCGCTGCAGCCACGGGCTCGCCGCCATCGCACCACCACGCATCGGCACAAGCATGCATCTCAACCACGCTGGAACAGTCTCGCGTTCTAGGCGCACCCGGAATCTTGCACATTTTTTTTTTTTTGCCTTCCGACAATTGCAGATGTACCTCAGAAAACTTTCACTTAATGTCTCATACTCTACATGAATATTAAACCAATACGAAGTACAACAACATATGTAGGACATATTTCTACTGTCATTTACATCGTAAAAATATCTCCTCTTCAACTTGAAATAAAACCAATGACAATCCTGATCGTATTATTATTATTTTGTTTGCCCTCCGACAATTGCAGATAAACGCAGACATACATAAAAAGCCGATCGTAAAGGCCGTCATGCCAAGCCAAATTAACTCGATGCCCAATAGCTAGGAATGTTTGCCTCTAACTCAAACAAAACTTTGGTTGAAACACTACAGCTGAACTCTAGACACGAACCTTAGATGGAGAAAAACGAACAAAACCCCAACCTCATCCACCCGAAATCAAACAAAGCTCGGCCCCGTCTTCCCTGGTATCCGTGACACCGTATCGAACAGAAATCCGCTTTCCACCGAAGTGGTTAGGTTAAAGCTGTCGCAAGCATATTCGGGCGCGCAAAAGTCTGTGCGGCATTGCTGATCGATACTGCCACCGGTCACACCAAGAGAGAAACACCCGCCGTCTTGTTCTTTCTGAGGCACCCCCCACTCAAGCCCATGTTCCCCCAGACCCCCGACACTGCCACCCCTTGTTACTACTTCCTTGCCACCTGCAACCACAAGGGCCAAGCCCTCCCCCCTCAGCACTCCCGACACCGTATCGAACAGAAATCCGCTTTCCACCGAAGTGGTTAGGTTCCTATATGCGTTCGTAAGCTTGCTAAAAAACTACTGCGTTGATGTCCTTGCACATTTGTTTTTTTGGTCCTCACTTCAAATCAATGCTCACAGCACTAGTGCCGTTTACTCCAACCCGTGGTCACACAGAAGTGCCCCTCTCTACCCTCCCCTCCTGCGGTACATTGCCTTCGATTTTTAATGCGAGAAGAGTTCAGCACTTTCTTCCCTCTGTGCACACACACACGAGCTAGTGCTATCCACTAGACCACTAGGCCATGAGCGGAAGCGAGAGAAAAACTCACTTTGCAAGAAAAGCTCGCATACTCCGGGATTTGAACCCCTAGCCTGACCTCTTGAAGGCTTCGAAGATACCACCTAGACCACCGGGACGACCGGTTTGCCATAGTGGCTACTGGATGCATATGTCTTGGTTGCTTTCCATAAGGAATTGTGCTGGCTTATCCTCCCCCCCGAAAAAACTCCAAAATAGGAAATTGGGTGGCACTGGGTACATATGTGTGCAGTTTGTTTTTTCGTACATCCTTGGGAAACGTTACGAGTCCTGGCATCATTTCTCAAAGGAGTCCTATCCACGATCCGCGAGGGATTTTCAGTTGGGGTACAGTATGCTGGCGGACGGTATACCCACGGTCTGCACTTTCCACAGGGAAGATCTCCCCGACGACGCGATCTTGTGCATGAGGGAATGTGAAGAGGAGGGGGATTTTCAGCACATGTGCACTCGTTCACGCCATTCCATCTACCAATATGGAGCGCCGATGCTCATTTTGTCTCACCCCAAGTCGCCTTCCGTCATGGGTCACAGCATGCAACATGTTTTCAAAATAAATGGTGGCCGAGCCCATGGAAGTAGAATGGGGTCGTTCTCTTGCAAGCAGATAATAAGCGGGTTGTGTTGTGCGTGTCATTTTAGGTTGATTCCAGGCTGACAGAGTGACAATGACGAATGATGGCGCCTGGGAGCAGGAAATGGAAATATTGAGAATTTGTGAAGGATGTGGTTACGGGTCGATAGACAGTGGTGTTAGTGGGTGCCGGAAGGGATATTGTAAGCAGTCAAAATAGCAAGCATGTTCCCGCTCACACCGTCCAACACGCCTCACATGGAATTTCCATTTTGGTCGCTGTCGCCTCTACCCCCCCACACACACACACCCTCACACCTACTCTTCGCCCTGGATCTGACGCCAAAATAGTAAACGCCATTATTTTTGTGACTCCATAATGGAAGGTATGCCATGATACATATGTACCACGTCTCGAGGAACATATGGGAGATGAGTGTTGATTGTGAACTCTGAGAATATAGAGAAATGCAGAACCGATTATCACGGGCCTCCATGTACGACGTTCGTTGTCGTACTCGTGCAGACTGCCTGACAGTCAACGAAACGCCTTCAACTCGTTGACTGGCAACGACAGCGTCTGGAGTCTTCCGAAGGAGGAAAGCGAGGATGAGAAGGTGAACGTGGGTACACGAGGGACCCCTACTTACCGCAAAAACCACAGCGGCTGGGCTCTGTGGCTCAAGTACCCCAATTTTTCTCATTTATCCCTCGCGACACTCTCAACCACCTGCAATCGTATCTCTACTCTGTCCGGAATGTTTTTGCCTCCAGGCTCACGACAGCGAGGAGTACAACGCGAGTTCGGCGGCGCCAGCCCCGCCCACGCGTCGGAGGCGAAAGGCCAAGGTCAGCCTTTTCGTTCTTTGTGTGGTATTGCCTCTACATTGATTTGTTTCGCCGGCACAATTTACCCCGGCCACCGACCTCGCCCCCCCCCCCTCCCCCCGTTTGCACGGCCGCAGTCTCACACACTCTCCACACATTCCACCGTTCGTCGTCGATCTAACACCAAAAGATGAACGCTAGGTGTTGTGTGGCTCGAGCAAACCTGCACGATTGCGTAAGAGGAGAGGTGGGGGTTGTGAAACTTACTAGTATTGAAAGATCGACGGACGTGTACTGAATGGGTGATTTCATTGATAGGACGGAATCCGATCTCATGAAGAATCGTAATCACTCTTGGCACAAAACAGGTTCTGGCGGCAAAGGGGGTGTAGTCCAAGGAACCCAAGTGTGGCGGGGACAACTCGTGGGCGAAGAAGCTCAAGGACATCACCCTCGACACGGAAGAAAAGCTTCCTCTCGTGGAGCTCGTTACAGACCTTGTGTTTGGTGTGGCACAGGGTACGACCGGCGGCAAATGAGCGAGGAACTGAACGAGCTGGTTGCGGAGTACAAGCAGTCGAAAGGCCACCTTCCCGTCGAACAGCGGTCTCTTGTCGCGCTCATTGGTAAACAAGGTGCCCAGACCTTAGAACAGCGACTGTCAGTGGCCAACATGAAGGGGAAGCCGGAACTACGGAGGGTCATTCTCAACATCGAAGAATCGGCACTAGAGGGTGTTTGTGGGTCTGCGAACATTGTTGTTGGATACATGTGCTGGATGATTTTGTGTCACGCAGGCTGGTAAGATTACCGTTTGGTAGGGGGCACCGCGATGATTCACAGGGCCCCTCCTTGCTTTGGGAGCCGCTCTTTGAGCACTCCCTCTTTCGTCCGTGTGAAGGACGGTCGTCGGCCTCTCGTGAAGTNAAATGAGCTCTGCTGGAGACGAAGAGCGCGCTGCTGCGAGTGGAGAACAGATCCGCCCGCTGGTGCAGGAGGGCCGCGACGCGGAGCTTGCAAGTTTGCAACGGCAGATTTCGCATTTGGCGGCCCTGGTGGAGGAGTCGGTGAAGAAGGAGCCTCGCAACGTCGTGGCGGATGCAGCCAGTAGGGGTGGCTGGGTTACTGCCCCAAGAGGCCAACGAGAAGAGCCCACGCTGCCGCTCGGCCGTGGCGGGGGGTTTCTCCAGCAGCAAACGAGAGATAGTGGGCAAGGACCACGGCCGCTGCTGGAAGGCGGCTGGGCCAGCAGATCGGGAGCAAACCCTGTTGGACCAGCCGGAGT